TCAACTTTTCATCACTCGGTATAAGCTGCATGTTCCAGCCCCTTCCTCTGGAATCAGGCCGGTTGGTATGGTGAACGGTGTAGAGAGGAGAGGGGAGAGAGGCTGAGAGGGAACATCGCACCAAGCCAACAAGACCCCCACCCCATACACCCCTCACCCATTCGCTGACTAAGCTGAGCATTCCAGTTACAAGGCTGCTTTGAGGTTTCTTTTTATTACAAGTGAAGCCCGGTCAGATTTTTCCAAACCCGCGCGGATTTTCTGAGAGCTTTCTCCAAAAGGTCATCGAGCCGACAGCACTTTTTCATCCTAAGCAAGACGGTGCAGTCCAGCAGTCCGTCTGGATTAGGTTGGCAGCCTTTTGAATACGGGCGGAATAAATAGCCACGACACCTGTTGCCAGGGAAGAGAGAGAGAGAAAGAGAAATCAATCATGCCAGAAAAGTGACTACCTCGGCCACTTACTTTGGGACTCGGACGCGAGTCGCAAGAAGGGTAGAGGCGCCACTTACCAGTAAAAATAAAACAAGAGGAACAAAAAAGAGATTAATGGGTTCTTATTTGTTGTGAAAGTTGTCGGTCCCGCAAGCAGCTGCAGCCACCTCGCCTCGCCAATTGAAATGCAAAGGGCGCGCTATTTGACTGCTAATAAGTGTCGACGACAGAAAGGGAAAAGAAAGGAGGTCGACAGTTACGTGGGTGGTGGGTGTGTAGCAGGTGTCAGGTACCGAGTTGATGACGCGCGCACCGCGCGCGCGCATGCATGTGTGCGCGAGTGCTTGAGTTAGGTTTGTTTAGACAACAGTAAACATGCCGTGTGTATATATTGCATGAAATTACTGATTAGGACTTGAAGAATCGCTCCTCCACGGTCAAAGCGTTCACCTGACTTTCAGGTCCTTTTTTTTTTAGATTCAGGTGAATTACCTGAAAATAACACTTTGCAGGTAGCTCACCTAAAAACCGGCCCACCATGTGTGACTGTCAGGTTCAGGTTCCTTTCGATCACCGGTCTTGTTAGAGACCTCATTAACATTAACCTGATACCCGACAGTTACAGGTACATTCAGGTAACTTACCGGCATCTGAATAGACGTTACCTGAAAGTCAAGTAAGCAGTTTGACGGTCGTACCTTTTTTTAATGGCATCGGAAGAGGTGTCAAGGTTACAATCATTAGGAGTCCGAATCCTGGGCCCCATTTGAATTCACGTCGAAAAAGTGAACAAAGGAAACAGTTTTTGGCGTGAATTCAAAAGGTGCGTTTCGCTGGTTGTAGGCAAGAGCTGCCAGTGCAACCTTTTCTCTGCCCCGTGTGACGACGGGGCCCGAGCGCGTCCAGCGCACGTAGAAAAAGTGTATTGTTGAAAAGGCCTTTTCCGCCCTTGTTTCAGAATAATTTTTAAACTATCCCTGAAATAAAGAGTTTTCTTTGTATTTGGTCACTTTTCCCCTTATGTCGAAGAAAACATTTCCTAGTACTTATTATAGTCAAATTTCTTTAATTCAAGGTCAGTTTCTTCAACGCAAGGTAACTTCGCTTTATTTCGAGGAATATATTTTCTGAGTGTTGGCTCCTGATGTCCGCAGCTAGAGCCATGGTCCCGGTGAGGGTCGGGGCAGTTGGGCGAGGACCCCATTACAGCAGACATTCCCTCCTCGTACTGAAGGCTGCAGGCGGGTCAGCATATTAGCTTAAAGACCAGCAGTAACCAAACGCGTCATTCCGTATGACAGGCAGGCGGATATGCGTCCGCCGTGCCCGCACCCCGCCATGCCCCGCCCGGGCCACTGACACTTTCACTTCAAGTCCACACTGTCTGTCCTGCGCAATCCAAAACCAACCCACTCAGGCGGCGTGGCCATGGCCCCGCCACACTGACCAGTCGCAGGTCCACACTGGCGCCACCGGCGCAGAGAGAGGGAGAGGGACTGTAGGAGGGAGAAAGAGGAGGGGGGAGAGTGAGAATGGGAGGGAGGGGACGGGTGTCATAGGGAGAGGAAGAGAGAGGAGGGGAAGGGGAGAAATGTTTTCACCTCCAAGCTATTTTTAGCTGCTAAACACAAGATGAGGATGGAGGAAGGAAGACGTCCGCAAGTGAGTTATGAGCAGCAAGCCTGGAGTGCAAAGGAGTGCAGGTGGTGGGGGACGGTGGGGAAGGGACGGAGAAGGGACGAGGAGGGGGAGGGAGCAAGGAGTGGATGAGGAGGGGGCGGGGAGGGGTGAATTGACCAGTAGTTGTTAAGGGCCCCATGCTTATTACCAGCCGACTGCCGTGGGAAAGCTGGGCCACTCTGCTGCTCTGCCGGTCACGTCCTCCCCGCGCGGGCCCGGCGGGCCGAGGGACTTCCCTCCCCCGTGCAGTGCAGACCAGAGCAGTGTGCGTGTGATAACAGTTTGTTCGGCATGTTTAACTAGGGTGGTATCCGCCGTAACGTCGTGAGCTGCGGTGGCTGTTTGACGTCAACCTGTTTAAGTGACGTCACGTCGCGGTTAGGGGATCAGCTAGCACAAAAAGAAAATTGTATGATGCTATTTTTCTAAAAATAAAAAATAACAACTAGCCCATCAGTGTGAAAGAAATTATCGCACTTTTTAACTACAGAGCCTGTAGTTCGAAGTTAACCGAGAGAAGGAACTGGTGGTCAAGACAAAAGAACGACGCGAATAAGTGGAGAAGTGCGGAGAAGGAGATAGCGTGCCGTTCGCACAGGGCGGCCGGCGTGGAGTAGCGTGGCGTGACTCGCACACAGGGACTCTCCTATGGTGGATGCAGCAGTCGCAGCCGCCGCAGCAGCAGCAAGGCACACACGGATACAGGTCGCTAAATGTGGGTCAAATGTGCAATGGGATTAACGGACCGCCGCTACGGTGCTCCGCGCAGCAGCGGCAGCCTCAGCGGCAGCGCCACGGGACGGCACGGGACGCGTCAGGGCCCGGCCCGGCAGCGCCCCAGCCCGCCCCGGCTCCACTGACCGCCTGCCGCGGCGTCGCCGTCCGAAACGTAGGCGGGGTCCGGCAGGAGCGGCAGTCCAGCCTTGCCTTCCCCCGCGGCGCGTCTGGCCCGCGGAGGAGCTCAACAGCGCAGTGCAGCGGGGCGAGGCGGGGCGCCGGAGGGGCGGCCCGACCAAAGCTGTGCTGTGCCGCAGCCACTATGCCACACCGCGACAGTGCGAATGTACGTCACGTACACAACTAACAAGCAGCAGGCCCACCCTTTGTTAGTTCCGCTTTTCTAATGGATCTAAATGTTCCGAAAAAAAATAATTGATAAGATTTTCTTTACAGCTACAGGGCAACATGTTGGCCGGCCCATCTAAATGCTGATGGCCGGGCGAGACGCTCTCCGCGCCCTCAGCCCTCCCAATTTCTGCTCTGCTCATCTCATTACCGAAACGCATAACGTCAAGATTGATTCCCCCGACGCGTCGCCGGCGGGCTGGTTCGAGTCATGGGCATTACGGCAGATCGCCGTTCTGCGTTACAGGAACCCGTCGATAGTCTCTTCGATCTCTTTTCACGATTGAGGGATCGTTCCAGACCGCCAAAGTTTTTCAACAGCTCTGGTTCTTTTTTGGGTACTTCTACCTGGGATAGTAGGGTCACCATACAATAAGAGCAGCCTTAATGTCTAACAGCGAAGTATCTTGTCCCATTATTCAAAACGACGGAATGGAGTATTCTTAGGTTTTAAGGGGAACGACGTCACCAAAACTATTAGTCAACAGGTGTGTAAACGCCCCTTAAAAGAGTGGGAAGCAAGAGTGGGGTGCGGGTTGCCCCTTCCATCCTATCGCCTCCTTCGAACTAGCTGACCGCACTTTGCGGTCGGTCTTTGGGGGCGGGCGGGGCGGCACCGTCCCGTGGCGCCTAGAGGAAGAAGGGAGAGGGAGAGAAGGAAGAGTGATTCATGAGGGAAAATAGCGAAACCCTCAACAAGGGCACCGGCCCTGCCGGCCCTGACTGGCCTTCATGCACTCACGAGCGCCCATTTGTTTCCGGACAAGACCCATTCCTCTGCGCTCGTTGTGCGAGACCAGTTAGTCCATGCCGCTGTTTTCACAATTCAATCTCCTCTCCTCTCCTGTCCGAAGCGTAATTAAAAGCGTTAGCCGAGCAAATCCCACAGAACTCACACGGCTAATGACAGAGGGCTGCTCACTTAAATAAGAATATCATACGCTAAAAAAAGAGAGAGACTTGCCGCACAGCACTGTATAGATGAGCGATTACTCGGAACACAACGGCTCTATTAATAGGCATACGCAGAGCCGACTGTTAGGCAACCAGCCGAGCGTCTAATGACGGGGCGTCGAACTGTCGTCGCTGCTTCAGCGAGCAAAGAGGGCGTGGGCGTGGCGGGGATAGCCGGGCATACTCAATGACAGAGACACGCGCGCGCGCACGCGGAGCCTAGTAGTCGCTAGTCGTCGCTAGTAGTCGTAGTAGCGCCGCTGACGTGTCGCTCCGAATTAGGCGAGCCGGCCGCGAATCTCTCCGCCGCGCCGCCGCCGCAGCGGGTATCATCAATCACCTGCTGGACCGCCAGGCGTCGCGGATCAATCACGTAGGCAAGTTCATCAGACAAAATGGCGCGCCAGAGCGTGGCGTAGCGTAGCGTGGCCGCGACACCACTCCACATCGGTCGCACACATCCGCGAGCGTGATCGACAGGGGGCACTGACCGCACCGAAATACTCTCGTTATTTACCGGATGCTAAGGGACAGTGAAAGAGGGACAGAGAGAAAGGTCGTCTGCCGTCCATAGGCAGAGAGCAGAGAAATGCGGAAAACTGAAAGGTGGGCAGGTGACTTATTTTACAGCGTTGCCACTCGCGCGGCATCCGCTATGTAGGTAAGACAACGTCTATATTTAATCGGGGCGTCTCCAGTGCACTGTCCTTGTAGCTTGTCGATGCGACCGCGCGCCACTACAACCTGTACAGTCCGAGCCACAAACGGCTGCTGTTTCATTTTCGTGTTTGTTTTGTCTGTTGCAGGCCGAAATAGGATTAATGAAGAATGCCGGCGGCAGGCTCAAGAATTTTTTTGGATTCCTAGGAAACAGTCAGCAATCCGCAAAACCAGCACAAGAGACGCCGACATGCAGCTGCCGTGAGTACCCGACTGAGTTACATTTGCAAGGTGGCCCCTCAATAGCTCTCGTCATCTCACTGCATTTCATACTACACTCCACTTACTGATAAGCTAAGTCTGAAACTGCTTACCACTTGTAAGTGTGCAACTGCGAGTTGATTACTTGCAAGTGTTCAACTCCGTAGCTGTGCCATTGCAAGTGTGCAACTAGACAGTTGAGCACTTCCTTAGATTAAACACTCACTGTGTAGGAAGTGCTCGAATGAGGAGTTGCACACTTGCAAGTGCAGACTTATCAAGTTGAACACTTACAAGTATACGACTACGGTGTGTTCTGGCCCAGCGTTTACGCGCAGGAATGGGCAGAGTGAATACTTTCCTCCTTCCCACCTGCTGCGCGTCGCATCGCGACGACACCCAACAGTTAAAGTTGCTACTCAAAATTTTCATCTCTTTTCTTCAATTTTTTTTTTAAGACATTCGGATGGAAGGAGTAAAGAGTTAAATATGCCCATTATTCCCACGCGTAAACATCGAGGCAGGAGTGAGGAGTAGTAAAGTGAGCTGACGGAACCTGTTGTGGGACCTACCTCCATGGTTTTCATCTTATCTAGAACTGTTTCCTTCAATTTGTAGGTTGTGGCGATCGAAATGACGCGTCCCGCATCGTCGGTGGAAAGCCTGCAAACGCAAACGAATTTCCATGGATGGTTCGACTATCTTACTTCAATAGATTTTATTGCGGAGGAATGCTAATTAACGACCGATACGTCTTAACAGCCGCTCATTGCGTCAAAGGGTAAGAAACGGCACACGTGGCGTACATGTATCCTTATTTTTGACTAATTTTGAACCGTTGGACAGCTTTATGTGGTTTATGATTAAAGTCACATTTGGAGAACACGATCGATGCAACGACACTACCAAACCTGAGAGCAGATTCGTGCTTCGGGCAGTGTCTGGTGATTTTTCATTCCTTAATTTCGACCACGACATTGCCCTGCTGAGGCTGAATGATCGAGTGCCGATTACTGAAACCATCAGACCTATTTGTTTACCTAAGACATCAGGCAAGTTATAACAAGGCAAGGGTTAATCCAATGCAGCAATAAGCCTTATCAATTAATCTTTTGAACTTCACTGATTTTAGATGAGCTTTACGAAGGGGAAAACGCCACCGCAGCTGGATGGGGAACACTCGCCGAACACGGAAAACCATCATGTGTTTTACACGAAGTTCAGGTTCCAGTTATGACAAATGACGACTGTAAAAAGACTAACTACAACGCGAAAATGATTACTGACAACATGATGTGTGCTGGCTACGAGAAAGGAGAAAAAGACGCCTGCCAAGTAAGATCTTTTCCTCGTTTTAAATTTTTCTTATTTATACTAAAACTTGGCTGCAACACCGTGTCTTTATCGTTTCAGGGTGACAGTGGTGGACCTTTAGTAAGAGAGAGGGACGATAAGAGATACGAGTTGATCGGTAAGCATTGCTCTTCATTAGGCAAAAATAACCAGTGTGGGTGTGGAAGTAATTGAAGTAAACGTGCTTTTCTACACAGGAGTGGTGTCTTGGGGAAACGGTTGCGCGCGGCCAGGCTACCCGGGAGTGTATACAAGAGTGACAAGGTATCTTGACTGGATACGAGAAAACTCAAAGGACGGCTGTTTCTGTGAAGATTGAAAAAAAAAACTGCTAAGACACTAGAATTTGATACTCAACCTGTAACCTGAATTTTGATGATGGAGTGCTTTATGGGAAAAACTCAGTACCAATGAACAAAAGTTCAACCAAAAGTAACTTTCAGCTATAATGAAGCACATCCAATATGAATATCAAACTTCAGGGAACGCACGGGCTTTAGTCAACGGCTCGACTCGTAATAACATCCAGCAACTGGACACTGTAAAAAATATTCTGAAATTTAAGACCAAAATGTATCTTAAATTTAATAACATTTTCAGTTGTTCTTAAACGTAAGAACAGATTATGATATTTAAGAAGTTTTCTTAATTTTGCAAACCAGGTTATGAAAATTCTGATAAGGGTAATTAAATTTTATAACAAGTTTATTAAATTTAAAAGATTTTCTTAGTTTTAAGAAAGGTTCTGAATGCTAGTATTAAAAGTAAGAATAAGTGTGACTTTTCAAAACAATTTTGTTAAAAGTCATGCAGCTTTTGACCACTGGACATAGAATTTTGGTGTTCAATATAGAATTGGATGAACATCATCAAATTAGATAAGCGAAATGTAGCTATGCCAGAGCGAAATGTCAAAAAAAACGAGTTAACAAACATACGCCGTCCGACCAAGCACATAGCTACTCTGGGAATGCCCCTGGACGGAGCGCCGCTTAAGGTCGGGTGCGAGCGCTCCCCTCACAGGCATGTCCCGACAGCCGCGCGGTCTAAGGCGTCAGGATCCGAACCCAAAGGCCCGAGGTTCGAATCCACCTAGGTAAAATGAGGTAAATAACTATAATGTGTACAAAGTCGGGTTTGAACATCTGTCCGTAGGAACAAGAACTAAATATTTTCGAGTTTTGCGTTAGGCTGGAACAGTAAAGCATTTTTGTCGTTTCATAACACGTTCTTAATTTTCAAAACATGTTCTTAATTTTCAAAACATGTTCTTAATTTTCATAAAACATTTGTTCTTAAATTTAAGAGCAAATTTGTTTTGTAAATTGCTTCCAAACACGTGTTCTTAAAATTAAGATGGATTTTTTTTACAGTGGAGAATATGCCATCAACGGGTGGAAGCAAGCAGTGAATCGCTTGTGACCATACTAAGCTGTGATGAACTCTATGCATTAACTAACCAGCGTACACATATACCGCGTGTATGTGAGAGTCTTTATTTATTAGGAATGCAGCGATAATTTATTTAATTTATTTAAAAATTGAGAATGTTGCGAGTACATTACTTGTGTAGTGGCAGTCAAAAATATAAAGAAACTGCACAAGGGAACTGTTTACATAAGTGTCATATTTCTTCTTCAAACGATTGTAAATGATTTACTTTCTAAGAAATGACTTTCAAACTTTGAGAAGTATTCACATTTGATAGCGTTAGATGTGAGCTGTGTTACGGTTGTGTATAGTACGTTTTTGTTAGTAGACGTTTCTAATTAGCTATTAAATTTGGTATGTGTCAGTAAGATAGCTATGACATCTCCATGTGTTTTGTCTTTGATTACCTACAAAATGAACAAAACTAGGATTAATACATTCGATGAAGTAAATACGTTTTGAACATTTTTTGAAAAAATCACATCACATGTAAATTATTTATCGTCAACTGAAAACGTTCGTGAAGTGTACGATTGTTATGTAAAAAAGTGTGTGACGACAAACATAAGAGTGAAATGAGTGAGTAGTCGTGAGGTATTTTAAAGTGTGGTATCTGATATCATATGTGAGACTGTGTGATCCCCAGTGATAATTTCTCTCTGTTTTTCTACTGTACCATACTGAAAATAAAATTACTCAAGCGAAAATCCGAAAGTAAAGTATGAAAAAAGCGTGAATGCAACATCACTACTCTACGATCCCTTTACTGAGCTTAGCCTAAAGATGCATCCAACGCTCTCTAGCGGACACGGAGTGAAACACCGCCGCCGACCAGTGACTACTGGAGCATGGGATATCAACGGTGCACTCCGTGCGTCGCTCGGTGTTCCGATTCAATGTAATGGTAATTATGACACATATCCCACCTTGTCTGTGAAACATTTAAACTTTTACTTCAAAACGAGGTGACCGATATTAAAGGCCCGTTAACAAAATAAAGAATCTTAATGCTTTTTTCTGGAAGTAGAGAAAACAAGGGCCACTAAGAAAAGAACAAAGTTCTAGAGTGACGATGAATGCCATCTTTCGCTTTTTAGGTGAGGCACATCACTCGGGTATCGCAGGTAGAACCCGCGAAGTTGCCTTTGAGGTACGAAGGGCGTAACCAACGCAAACGAAATAGTTCGTGTTGAGGCGGTCTCTTTGTATGGAAATCTACATTAGAGTTTCCCGAGTTCTGGCCACCTTCCGGCGCGGTCCTCGGCGTTGCCTTCCTGTCGATGTTGACATTCCCTATGCAAAAGGCCCCTCCACGAGGGTTCACAATCAAGACTGCCCACAGTGAGGTGGTGTTCTTTCAGCCAAGCAGGTCAGCCAGGCTGCGGGAAAAGTCAATTATGGTCATAGGACAGCAAGACGAGTTTATTAAGATAATGCCAATACGCGGCGAAAAATATGGCAAAAGGTTCTTCAAGACCGACATTGTTTGGTTCAACGCGATTGGATTTTTTCTGCTCCACGCCCTAGCCCTCTACGGCAGTTACTTATTTTTGCTGTTTCGGATTAATTGGCAAACATGGCTGTTCTGTAAGTAGTGACATCATTGAAGTGTTGACCGACTCAATTCTATTTCGATTACATGTCGATATTTTTCTCTGTGCCTTCGCTGAAAACTGAGTAATATGAGACTCATCGACCACTCGATAATAACGCCACTCTGTTCCGGTAGTGGAATATTATCTTAGTGAGCAGTCAAATTAAATTTTGGTGATGGTACTTTCAGATTCCTACTTTCACTCTTGCACACGTAGGCTCGTTTAATAAAAATGTTTACGGGAACTACGATAGCACCATCAGAGAGTGCCCACTGTAAAAAATACTCTTAAGGGTTACGGGAAAATTTTTCAAGATAAAAGTCGTAAAATTACAAGTAGAAACTATAAATTTACAAAGCCATCCCTATCGACTTGGAATTGACTGACGACGACAAGCAAGAATGGGCTGACGTAATTTTACGACATATTTTGTAAATCAAAATTACAACAAGTGTCATAAATCTACGAGGATATTTTTCACGGTGCACTTAGATAACATATGACACTAACTTTACGTACGTCAGGATTCGCGATATATATTGTTTTGCATGTTTCGCAAGGTTCTCCACGCCACCAAAACGGTTGTCTTGTGGTTTACACTCAGCCTGTGGTCCACACAACGCACCCAGCGCGATGAAATCATTCAAGAGGCGAAAAAAAGTCCCTTTAATTAATTATATTATTTGTTACAACAGCTGTTTTTCTGGGCATGTGTTCGTCGCAAGGTATTCTTGCAGGTGCGCATCGGTACTACGCACACAGATCATATAAGGCTAATCTACCATTGAGAATGCTAATAGTATTGTTTCATACCGTCGCAACTCAGGTATTTAAAAGCAAACCAAAGAGAAATGCATTCACACTGTTAGATTCCTCCAAAGCAATTGCAACGTGATATTTTGCTGCGAGCCCCGCAAGTTTTGCAAAGCATTACTTTGTAATCGCAAAGTAAATGCTATGTAGTTACAAAGGGATCTGAATATTTCGCAGTTCTGCAAAGCAATGCCTTGTAGGAATTTAACAGTGCATACATATTGTCCCGCAGGCTCTGTACTCTTTTGATAGTCATGTATATCGTACTGTACCGCATTCAAGCAAGAGAGGTTTGCCTCTTGTCGCTCGTGGTGGCGCCTTATGGCCCAGAGCGTGAAGGCAAACTGCTCACATCCCCGCTCACTGTTAAAAATACCGTATCAAAGAACACCAAATGCCAAGTCGGGAGTGTGTGTTGGGGGGGGGGGGGGGGAATTAATCTGCGAGTATTTAGGAATTCATTTACGAAATAGGTCGCACACCTGCAGGCGAACTAAATTCGAAATAGAGCGAAATGTGCGCATAATATCAGGTGAAATAGCAAAAATATTGTCGAAGTAACTAAAATGGACATGTAATTCCAGAATAGTACGTAAGCTGCGTTACCGAGTGACATCACCGTTAGAATCTCACTCGCAGAATGTACAGTAGGTAGGTACAGGTACAGTGGAGTATGTAGATTGGCCGACCTATTTTTGACCGACCTGAGTGTCAGTATTGTGACTACTTGAGCCTCGTCTTTGAATGAAGTATATATTGAACCTACAATAAATTCTGCAGAGTCTAGTAAGTTGTATAACAGTTGTAATACGACAAAATACAGCCAAATCTGAGTGTGAGTATGAGGTCGGTTCGTCTCCCCTAGCTCTCCTACGAGTGTACTAGTATAAGGAAAGTTGTAAAAATACTGTAAATTCGTAACAGTGTGGCAGTGCTGCATGCGGTACAGTGTAACTATAAAAAGATGTACCGAGCTAATGCACTACCCTACAGTAGCCTGTCAAAAATAAATCGACTTTTTAATGAACTCTATAAACATTTCAGAACTGCATGTGGGTGTGGGTGCGAGACCATCGCCAGCATCACAAGTTCTCAGACACAGACGCTGATCCTCACAATGCTTCGAGAGGATTCTTCTTTTCTCACGTGGGGTGGCTCATGATGAAAAAGCATCCTGATGTCATCGAAAAGGGTAAAACTATCGACATGTCTGACCTAGACAGCGATCCTCTTATTATGTTTCAAAAAAAGTAAGTGTTTTTTTTATTGTAATAGTCGCTTATAACTAAAGGGTCACTTCTAATTCTTTTGTGTTGTTGCTTAGATATTATTTCCCTCTTTTCTTCATATTTTCCCTCGCAATACCGACTTTTGTCCCGGCGTACTTCTGGGGGGAAACGGTGTTAAACGCTTTTATGGTCCCTTTCCTTCTACGCACCGTGGTGGTGCTGAACTTTACATGGATGGTAAACAGCTGGGCTCACGCCTTCGGGAACAAGCCGTATGACAGGTGAGTAACTACGCCACAAAACTAAACGAACAGCCTGGGTTTTTCACTTCACCATGGTTTTGTTTGTCTATAGGAACATCCGCCCCGTGGAGACCATGGTCGTGTCCATCGTGGCGTTTGGCGAGGGATGGCACAACTATCACCACACCTTTCCGTGGGACTACAAGGCCTCAGAGTTCGGAGTGCGTTACAACCCTACAACAGCGTTCATCAACTTCCTGGCAAAGATTGGCTGGGCGTACGACCTAAAACAGGCGTCACCTTCTCTTGTCCGGGCGAGAGCTCTGCGATCAGGCGACGGCACACACGGTGACATAGTGAAAGCCAATAACGATTGTGATACAATTACCGAATCAATTATCAGTAGCATCAAAGAGCCTCTGTCAAAAGATAACTGTTGCATGACTGAATAAAAGGAAGAGCCGATAAAGCCCCGTGCACGACCTTACACCCCGAATACACAGCGACAGTGCAAACGCGGCGGATTCCATGCAAACGGAGGTCCTCGACCGCCGGCGCCGTGTCCGCGCGCGTCCTGGGGGCTTGGCGATAGCGCACGTGAGCCAACGCTGCGGTGGCGGCGGGGCCAGGGGAAAAAAAGGAAATGAAAACAACTGCGTCCATATTTAAAGAATCAGGCGCCCCCGCAGTCAGCGCAGAGGTCCGTGGTCAAATCGCGCGCGCGTGCGCACGCGAGAGGGAGGGGGGAGGGTGAGTCCCGCCGCGCCGGGCGCAGCCGGGCCGTGGCGCCCCCTGGCGGCGTCGCGGCGCAGCGCCCAGTCCAATCATTACGGGAGGGGGTGGGGGCCGGCGCGCATGCCCGGGGGCGGCCGGGGGCGGCTGGGGGCGGCGGGCCGGGGCCCACCCCCAACCCCCTAAGCGCGGGGGCCCCCCACCCCGGTACCCGGTACGCCCACCGCGCTCCACCCACTAGTGAGCCCCTGGTCGCGTCGAGGAGCGGACCGGCCGCACCGCAGTCCTCGACCCCCCCGGCACGGCTCGGTCCGACCCAACCCGACTCGACTCCTGCCCCGGCGCGCCTACAGGCGGGCCCCGCACCCACCACAAGCCCCACCGCGGCTCGGCTCCGAGAGAACACGCCGGCTCCGCGACACGAACTGTGCGCCGCGCGTGCACCATGGCGGGGGACGCGTAGCGTGACAGCCACGTGGGCGCCTGGCTGGCCTGTTGCAGTGGTGTTAGTGACAAGTGCGTGAGTGTGAGTGCAGCAGCATGGTGGTGCCTACCACGGGATAACAAGGCCGCAGCCGCCCGCACGCTGCTGTCGTCTTAGAGGTGAGCGTTTAGCACCAGGGTGGTGGGCGTGCACCGCGCCGCTGACCGTCCCGCAGGCCGCTGACCGTGCCGCGCCGCGTGTGTGTTGGCTATACTTTTGTGCGGACGCTTCTCATAAATTTAGATTGCGCGCGCAAAGGTACCGCCCGGCGGCCCGCCCCTGCTCCTGCCCCCCCCCCCCCCCCCCCCCCCCCCCCCCCCCCCCTCTCTCTCTCTCTCTCTCTCTCTCTCTTTCTCTATCTGTCTTTCTTCCCCCCTTCTCACCTCACCCCCTCTCCCCCTCTCTCGTTGCCGTTGCGAGATGCCGTACTGGAGTGACTATACTGGTCCTCTGTCTCTGACTCGGTAATAAAGTAAGAAAAGTTTACTCGATAGGCAACATGGTACCTGACGGGCAGACGAAGTAGGCAACGCCCGGCCGCGCCGGCGAGTCCACACCCTTAGTTCCTTACATGGAGTGGTCTTCGTAATACAAAGAATTGGGTTTGCAACGTACAAAGGATCTGGAACCTCCTTATTACAAACGGATTTTCTTCGTATTACAAAGAGCACCAGTTTGTGAACAAACGCGTGCCCTTCGAATTACAAAGCCGAGCCCTTCGTTATACAGAGGATCCTTTTGTGCCAGGTGGCCGACCCACGCCGCACACTTTCGTAGTTACACTGTAACGCCAAGCACACGTGTGGGGTGGGCGGGTTGCCTACTCGCACGGGGCCGTGGGGCCGTAAGGACCCTTGGGCAGCAAGGATATGCGAACCCGCCCCCCGCACTCGTGCATGCGGTACAGTATATTTGCTTAAGTGCGGAGCGTGAGTCAGACACCTATTACAAAGGTTCTAAATCCTTTGTACTTATGAATAGCTCTTCTTTGTAAGAAACTTACATTGCACCGAAACACACGATACGTAAACAAGGGTGGTAAGCAGGAAATGGGTCGTATTCAGGGTTCTGACGTAAACTTAGACCTGGGCTGGACAAGGCGTGGAGCGGTGGAGCGTGGATTAAGGGGTTGTCTCTGGCGAGCAACGGAAAGGTAGGCAACTTGTGCTACAAAACCCCTGTACGGAGGCAAGTTACCAGGCCTGCCCTTAAACCAACCGCACCTGCCCCACCACGTCGGACGGCGGGCACCTTGCAGGGTCGCGGCCGAGCCTGCTGCTGAAGCTCGTGCTCCGCGCGGGAGAATGTCATTTTGTTTTCAAGCAGCCTCGCCGCGGGACATCGTCGCAAGTGGGAGGGGAGAACGCTCTGATTTAGGGGCGGCGAACGGGACGATAGCAGCATCCTCGGCCTCCCGCGCCCTATACTGGCCGCGGGCGGGAGAGGGCGGGAGGGACCGAGGGGAAGGGTTGGGGCCGGAGAGCTGGGCCAGGCCGGGCGGGGTAGAGGCCGGCGGCGAGGACGGGCGAGGCCAGCGCGGCGCCGGGCAGAGACCCCTCACAGTCACTCGGCTATATTTAGTCGGCTCCCACCTCCAGATCAGGCCAGGCGGGTCGGGCGGCCAAACGCGGGGGCGAGCTGGACCCACAGGCAAGAGAGGTAGGCAGGCCAGGGCCACGGTCCCAGCCAGGGCCTAAGCCGAGGGTCTCCGTCAGGATCTCCATCAGGGTCCCCGTCAGGGTCCCCGTCAGGGTCCCCGTCACGGTCTGTGGCAGGATCTCCGCCAGGGTCTCCGCCAGGGTCTCCGCCAGTGTATCTGCCAGCGCCTTAGCTGGGGCAGTGCTTGGGGTTGTGCATCGACCTGTTGATGTCGGCGAGCGAGACCGGATTGGTGGCGGTGCAAGGCTTTGCCAGACGATGAAACAGATATATAACCGCGGATATTATTATCAGGATTTGGGCAGCAGGCGACAGATGCGGGCGCGAGGCGAGCGAGCCGCAATGGTAATAATAATCATCTCTCTGCCATCTTTGCCAGCCATTATATTACGACTCCGTGCCCCTCCACCACCCCTTAACCCCCCCCCCCCCTCCCTGCTCTTCCCTTCGCCTCATTATGTCTGGTCCGTTTGTTCGCCCAGAACAGATGTTCTCCGAGAAAAGCAAGAGGAACGAGAGAGAGAGCGTGGCAGGGATTGGGAAGGAGAGAAGGGGTAACAGGAGAAAGGGAGGGGCGGAATAGGGAGTGGGGGAGACGGAGGAGAGTGTAGAAGATAGGGAGAGAAAGGGTGAAAGATGAAGGGTTGGAACCAACATTGCTGCACCAAGCCACGAGAATATGGCAGCAGCGCGGTGCTGTCGTGGTGGTGGTCGTCGTAAGGGCGGGTGGGGGGCGGTGGAAGGCATCAGTGTCTACAAACCTTTGCAAAGGCATGACAAAGTCGACTGCTATGTCAACTGGCGCAGCGCAGCTCCGCGTGGCTCCCCACCCATCCCAATGGCCGCGCACTTCCCCCCTCCCCGGACTGCTGACTGATGAAAAATGGAGAAGCGTGTCACTTACGCCCCCAAGAAGGCACACGAAGAGGGGGTGGGGTGATAGTAGTGTTGTGTTTCTGAAATGAAAAGGAGGGGAGCAGGGGCGATAGCGAACCAGTAGGCACGGTGAAAACATCGTCCCGGGTTACAAGTAGTAAGCAGTCGGGTAAAACCAAAGCAGATTTCATGGTATTTTAATCAGCTGCTTTTAATTTTACCTTGGTTTTACACAACCAGTTTGAAAAGAGGGACGTCCTTTCCACTGTGGTTAGGTAGGCACACCCGCACGCCTGCATGCGGCACAGTCCTAACGAGAAAGAAAAAGTCGAGCCTAGAACACCCCAACACACACACACACACTGTTTGGTGTCTCAGCCCGCGGGTGCGCGCGCGGTGCACTGCTCCGGTGTGTAGCTGGTGTGTCACGGCGTGCGCGCGGCGGAGTCGGAGCAGTGGCGGCGCGCGACTCACGCGCGGCAGCGGGGACACCGTAAAATGCGCTCATAAATTTCGATCGTCCGGTTTTCCGGACCTCAGACCACACCGCGTGCCGCCGGCCCCGCCGGGTCGATACGCCTCCATTCTGCTGGCCGGCAGCCGCCAGTTCCGCCCGCAGCGGGGCCGCGGCATTGGTGCCCCAGTGTCACACGGACCAAGGTGTGCACTGTAAAACGCTTACGAAGTAAATGCTTTGCAACTTTACGAAAAATTTTCGTTCTTCGTATTGCAAAGAAATTTTTTGTATTACAAAGCGATTGTTTGCAAGGCTGGGAAAGTTTTAACGAACAATCGGTTTGCATTACAAACTAATTGTTCGCAAGCTTACGAACAATTAGTTCATATGCTACACCCAGAAAAGTGTTTCTTTGAAAAAACATAAGGAATTTTTTTCCTTGTATCAAAGAAATTCCATTGTTTCAGAGTAAAATTGCCCTTAAAGTAAAGAATTTTCCTTGAATTTAGGCAATTTTTTCCTTAAGCCAAAGTAAACATTTCGTTATATTTATTTAAGGAAAATTTCCTTAATTCGACGCTAATTTCTTTAACTTAAGGCAATTTCGCCTTGTTTCAAGGAAACGATTTTCTGGGTGTACGAAGGTTTTGGTTTGCATTACCAACCTATACTTCGTGGGCAATTTACAGTGTGTCGCTCGAGCGCACGACTGGGGGCCTTTAAACCCTGTTCATCTGCTCTGTCAAGTCTACGGACGGCGCTAGGGATCATCCACAAAGTACGTCCGTCAATTATTGCCGTTCCGAACCTGCCAAGTCCGTCCTCTGCCAGCGGTCATAGCGCCTGGTGGGTAGGCAACATCTTGCCTACAGTGCATGCGTGTATTGCAGGTTGGCCTACATCGAGTCTCGCAGGCGCCGACCCCGATGATCCGAGAAAAAAACGGACGTACTTTTTGGATCTACCCCCCAACGCCACACCACCCCACCAACGCCACCTTCTTCTTGTGCCCCTCATTGAGCAGCCTCCTCATCAGCACTCTAGCCCGCTTCAACCAAGTTGCCAGTGGAGCGGAACGGAGCTGGTAACGAGGTTTGTCGGAAGAGCGGGCCTAGCTTGTTCGATTTAATCTGACCCGATTACAAGCGCCATAGTAGTTTCTCAGTTTCTCCGGCCTATAATACTAACAGTGAAGTTGAACGTCATGAGAAGCGAGGGGGGGAGGGGGGAATTCATACATCAGCAACGTAAAAACGTAAAACGTCCGACACATGTGCGCATTGTCCTCGAGTCATTTGTCATTCCTTTCCCAGCAACGGGAAGCGGCCGGCGGTGCGCGGTGCTGGCGGATTCCAACAAATGAAGAAATATGCCCCTGGCTGTGTGTGCGTGTTGCGTGGTCTTATTAATGTTGGAAAGAGCGAGCGCGAGAGTGGGGAGGAGGGGGGGGGGCAAAGAAGCACGGGATATGCATCAGTCCCCCAGACGAGGACAAGGCGGGATAAGGGTGAGGAGAAGGAAGATGCCGGCCTTACGGCGGGAGGTGACAAAAACACGCATCGCCCAGGCTAAACGCAAACGACCCGACAAAGTGTCTGGCCTCGTAAGCGCCGAGCTCGCCCCCTTCATCTTGTGCCCCGCCTCGTGTTAGGCCCTTTGAGCGCACGGCGCCCTCGCACGGATCAACCCAACATTTTGTCAGACTTTACTACTTCACTGTTTCAAAAAGAAAAACAGCATTGCATTGGCGTTCTTTCACTCCTCATCCTCCCCTCCCTTGCTTTTCGTATTTTTTTCACAGTTGGTTCCGGTACTTTTCCCTTTCAGCCCGCAGCCCCCCCACCCCTTCCCCTTATCCCCTCCGGCATCCACCTCTCACCCACTTCACATTCTGCTGCTGCACCCACCCCTACCCACCCCACCCCACGCCACCCCACCGCACCCCCCTCCACACCCTACCCCTTCTCCCGCCCCACCAATTCCTCGCTTGCACATAATTTTTCGTGTGGCTGTGGAATAGTGGTGCTGCTGGCACGCCTGCAGGGCTGTCAGTCTCAGGCGATGTTGGGTTGCTGGGCAAGGGGAGCGGAGCGGGCGGGGCGAGGCAGGGCGTGGCGTGGCGGGGCG